TGGACTAAATAGGAGCAAATCAGCTCTGCCATAACATATTCATTCGGGGCTGATTTCTTGGCACCACTAAAAGTCCAAGCCCCGCCTGCCACAGGGTTCGAGCGGTACCTTTGGCACTCCTCTGAAACGATAAGCAGACATACCTAAATATCGACGGGGCAGAGTAGCTTCCTTCCCTTACATGAACCTCTTTAATCCGGCAACCCTGGGAAATAGGTGTGCTGGATTAAGGAAGTTTTCAGACCATGGGGGAGAGTCAGGGAAGGAGAGTGTGAGAGGGGGATGGGAGTGGGAGGTCTGGGAATGAGGGGGTAGGAGTGGGGTGCTTACTGACACACACCCCACCACTCCCAGGCAGCACCCCTTCAGACCAGTGCTTCACTGTGCTGCCATTTCCCCAGCTGGGGGGCAGCAGGACACTTCCTCCTGCCAGAGTCTGAACCAGACGTGTTCCCAGATCAGGGACACCTGGATTATGGAGGTCCAGGTGTATATCTCCAGTGGTGACCCTGATAGCTCTACTAGTCCATGTTCTACCAGTTGCATCCAACTGGTTGAAGGAATGATTGTGTAAGCCAACACACAGCTGTTCCGTTCCTAATGGAATGATAGACGGTTGGCCTTCCGCAAGAGATCAAACCACCGTGACTTAGATTCGATTGCCTGTCACGGAGGACTTGTGTATTTTCATACGTCTCAGCTGCGTGCTTTCTTTCCTCTCGGGCTGGAGGAAAGCAGCTGGTACTGCCCATCCAACAGGTTTTAGTTGTACGTGAGGGTTAGCTGGTGGGATGGATTTGAGCAAGGCCAATTGGCTCGGAGAAATCCCGTTTCAGGGATGGGGGGATTTTATTCCTCTGACACCAAATCTGGTTTGTTCAGTGTGAAAATGTGGTTGTGGCCTGCAGTGTGTCTGTAGAAAGGGCCCCTTTGTTATAGTGTGTGCAGGATTCTTCTCGACCCTTCTGCTGAGCTCACTGATAAGGAAAATGTAGTGGATACACATACTATGGTCTGAGTGGCAGAGAACAAGTTGGAGTCTGTTTTCTCGTACAGCTAAGTAGCCAGTTATATTCCAGCTCCAGAACCTTTGTGGTTGGTGATGATGCACCAGGAAGAAAGGACTCACCGTTGGCTGCATCTTCCAGCATATTCAAATAGTTTCTATTCTGCCCTCTACCCTCACTGTGGCTGGGCAAATCCACATCCACATCAGGGACTTCTCATGAATGCCTCAATGTGCGTGCACAGTGCCACCCCCAGCCTGTGAGGATGCTATAGAAGACTTACCCCTTGATTTTCTTATACCACAAAGTGCTGACAGTCGGAAAGTGAAATTGCTCTGACAGTGCAAAGTAGCTATGGAACAGAATGCTGACACATCATTGGTATGAGATCCAGCTGCTGGACAGGTAGAGTGTAGGCTCCCTTCATCCCGGGGAATACCAGGAGACTTGGTAGGAAGGTTTTTCCAGGGTTAGGTTCCTCAATAATTTTCCCCACAGTTGGATGTCAGCCGCAGATTTAATGCACGCCAACGGCATAGTATTGACATTTGCTAAAACTGCACAACCTTCCTAGCTGGCTGTTCACTTCATCCATTTGCCTCCAGCAACCAGGGCTGGCAACAGAGTTCGCCCGGCCATGGGAAATGGGGCGGGGAGGGGGAGGGGGTCTTGGCTTTGGGTCCCCTGAAAGGGGCGGGGCCTCAGCTGGAAGGGGTGGGGCCAGGGTCAACCAGCCATCAGCACTGTTTAGACCACTCTGTGCCTCCCCCACCCTGCCCTCAGCATCACCTAGACCATGTCATGTGGGGCTCCGGTGGGGATTTAAAGGGCCCTGTTGGAACCATGGCAACTATCTCCTTTCCCCTACCTGCCCTAGCAGAGGCCTTGCCAGCAAACTGGATTGGAATAAAGAAAAACGGAGCCTATGCTCAACATTGAAACAAAGGGCCAAACAGGAGGCCCTGCTCCGGTGGTGCAAAGCCAGCAGGCCTGCTCCGCTCAGGATAAAGATTGTCTAGTGGCTCCCATACTCCCCTGATCACTTCCCAGCACGAGGAAACTGCCCAGGGAAAAGGAGGAAAAGGGAAATATGGCTGGGGCCTTCCTATGCTCCTGGAACCTCCAGCTGCTGGAACATCCCTTGGAGTCATGGGACAACCAAAAGTGAGGACCGGGCCCAGCACTGACCAGGCAGAGTGGAAGGACCATCCCATCCTGGTGTCACAAAGCCCCAGGGAACAGAGGCGGCGCACTGGGCCCTTCTAAAGCACCGGAGTTCTTTCATACTTACAGCTGTTCCAGAGAATGGAGCCCCTTGAAGGCATGTTGCTGGATAGTCTGAATTTCATTTTTGTACAGGTAGCTTTGGGGAGAGCAGAGACAGGAACAGCATTAGAATCATAGAATCATAGAATAATAGGACTGGAAGGGACCTCGAGAGGTCATCAAGTCCAGCCCCCCGCCCTCAAGGCAGGACCAAGCTCCGTCTACACCATCCCTGACAGATGTCTATCTAACCTGTTCTTAAATATCTCCATAGAGGGAGATTCCACCACCTCCCTTGGCAATTTATTCCAATATTTGACCACCCTGACAGTTAGGAATTTTTTCCTAATGTCCAATCTAAACCTCCCCTGCTGCACTTTAAGCCCATTACTCCTTGTCCTGTCCTCAGAAACCAAGAGGAACAAATTTTCTCCTTCCTCCTTGTGACACCCTTTTAGACATTTGAAAACTGCTATCATGTCCCCCCTTAATCTTCTTTTTTCCAAACTAAACAAGCCCAGTTCATGAAGCCTGGCTTCATAGGTCATGTTCTCTAGACCTTTAATCATTCTTGTCGCTCTTCTCTGTACCCTTTCCAATTTCTCCACATCTTTCTTGAAATGTGGCGCCCAGAACTGGACACAGTACTCCAGCTGAGGCCTAACTAGTGCAGAGTAGAGAGGCAGAATGACTTCACGAGTTTTGCTTACAACACACCTGTTGATACAACCTAGAATCATATTTGCTTTTTTTGCAACAGCATCACACTGTTGGCTCATATTCAACTTGTGGTCCACTATGACCCCTAGATCCCTTTCCGCCATGCTCCTTAGGCTAATGCAACATTGCTGTCTTCAAAACAGGACAAAAACAAACACCAATTTAGACCCAGCTGGAGGGGTCTCATTTGATATTCACTGCGACATACTTAGGTCAATGCCATCGAGACGATCTGGCCACATAACGCCTGCCCTAGACCGGCAGGGCTACAGACGCTATTTGATTTGATAGGATTTAGAGGTGCCAACTCACAGATATTTCAAGTTCGGCAGAGCTTCAAAGGACCTTCTTGCGATTTGTTTGATCAAGTTATTGTTCAGCAGCCTGTTCGAAACCAGAAGGGGGAAAAAAAAATCACACACGTGTTGATGCAATATACCTGAGACTTGCAAAATATCAGACTGTAGCACAGACACCTGTTGAAAAGTCGGAGCTGTAAAATGTAGTAACTAAGGCCCGGTCTGGAGTAGAACGTAGTTATACCTGCACTAGGAGATTTACCCGGTGTTGCTCAGGTCCTTAATGCAAACACATTTTGGTTTGTTTCATTTGAATCATTGCTCCAGGCTGGGGCTGGGGCTGAGGGGATCAGGAGGCAGGCTGGCCTGAGGAGAGAGCACTAACCCAGCCCTTTTTCATTGCTGCAGCTTCGGGCAGGTGAGAAGTGCTTCTCTCTGGGTCAGTGGTCCCCAACCTTTCGTGGCTGCCGGGCGCCCGGGGCGGGGCCGCTCACGTGCCGGGCATCTGGGGACGGGGCCACTCACACACTGCGCTTCTGGGGGTGGGGCCACGTGTGCGCCACATGCCCGGGGGTGGGGGCCGCCCACGCTCCGAGCCCAGGGCCAACACTGCGCATGTGCCGCATGCCCGGGGCAGGGGCCGCCCATGCGCCACGTGCCTGGGACCGGCACCACGCATGTGCCATGCACTGGGGGCGGGGCCCACCCAGATGTTTCAGTGGGCACACATAAATGCCCCGGCGGGTGCCATGGCGCCTGTGGGCACTGCGTTGGGGACCACTGGGTGATCTTGCAGGCGTAGCTGGGGGAGGAGTATATGTCCCCCTGTGCGGGACAGACAGACACACAGATAGGCAAACTCTCTGAAAGATATAGCTGTCTCTTTCTCCGCTCCTTCTCCCTGCTGGCCCAATGGGGTTTAACCCATTACATGGGACTTAACATCCCTAGTCAGTGCACATGGGCTCCACGGCACAGCCTGCTTTTCCCCACCAGGATGCAGAGCGCTGTGAAATCCTCCGGCCAGCCTACCCTGCTGCAACAGCCAGCCAGCTCCTATGTACAGAGCGATTACCTTCCCTGGTGATTGAACTCTGGAGTACTGGGCCCGAGGCGTCCATGCAGCCCAAGCAAATAACATTGTCTATTGACCCCCAGAATAAGTACAGCACAGGCCAACAGCTATGCAGCTTCCCCGCCTTTCCCTGCCAGCAGGGGGGATCAGCTCCGGTGGGCCCCAACGGCTATTCACGCTTTGGCTTCCGTTCAGAGAATGCCAGGCAGGTTGCCAGCAGGCCCCAGCTGTGAGGTCACTGCTAGGGAGGTGGACAGCTGTCCAATGCGACTGCCATCCACAGGTCATTTCATGCAGGCTGCCAGGTAACCCCTAGGGCAGCTGGGGGGAGGGGCTGTCTCCTGCAGTGGTTTATACAGCCCTCGCACAAATGGGGCCTGGATCTCGGTTGCGGTCTCTAGACACGGATGTAATAACGTGTTTGGAGTTGGAACGGTTTCAGCAGCTGAGTTCACAGTGGAGTCCTCTAGTTCCAAACACGGCTGCTCTCTCCAATCTCAGCCTGCCCCGTTTCAGCCAGACAGCTCTTGGGCTGGCTCTGCTGACCCCGTCCTTTCCCGCAATCCAAGCAAAACAGGCCCCTCTGTAAAGACAAACTCTACACACAGCACCAATGGCTTTGTGTGCCTCTCACCTCATTGCTTAATGCCCCCAAATCCGCGGGGAGCTTAAAAAGCAATTAGAAGCAGAAATAGCTAATACCTGCCACCGGCCTCCCTAACGCACAGAGGGGCCTGACCTCCACTGACACTTCCAATGAGTCCTGGAATGTACTCAGGGTTTTTTTGGGGGGGGGGGGTATGCAGACAATTTATAAAGTAGATAATCTGTTGAGTAGTCAATGCTGACCCAAGCTCATTAGAGACAGGGAACAAAAACAACAACCATTCTATTGGTCCTTAGTTGGTTACACATTACACTGAAAACACAACCCAGGTGGTGAAATGCCAGGATTTTTGGTTTGGTTTTGTTAATTTCAGATCCACAGGATGCTGTGGTTTCTCAGGCCAGGTCTACACTAAAGGGGCAGGTCGAGTCAAGCTACCCAACTTCAGCTACATAATTAACGTAGCTGGAGTCAACGTACTTTTGATTTGCATTTCCCTGCCACCCTCACAGCAAGAGGCTGATGGGAGCAAACACTCCCATTGGCTTCCCTTACTCCTAACAAGAACAGAAGTACTGACGGATGTGTGCACTGAGTTTGATTTAGAAGGTCTTAACTAGACATGCTAAATCAAACTCTGGATGATCAACCGTCGCAGTACAGACATGGCTTAAGCAGGCCAGCACGCTGCGAGGCAGTGGACCTCCTAACCAAGAAAGATACTTTCACGGAAAGCAGTAGACAGGACAGTGACTCAGGATCCTGCCAAGATTTTAGATCCCGATTCTACACGTTGTTCCCTATGGACAGACCCCTGTGGGAACCTGTCCTGGCAGAACAACTTGCAAGATCTGGATCCCCACTGAACTCAATGACAAAACTCCCAAACTCCCACCTATTTCCTTAGGATCAGGAATCTCGTAGGAACAAGCTGAAGCCAAAGCCTGCAGACGAACATGTGAGCAAATGTGCTGGAGGAGACAGGATTGGATAAAGGGAAAGGAATTAACATGGTGTGTCCCAGTGACCCTGTGTGGACAGGAAATAAAACGTATGGGAAAGTGCATTTGTTTCTTTGATACCTTATTGAGAAAGGGCCAGATCCTGAGTGGGGTGATACCAGTTTGCACCAGCTAACGATCTGCCCAAAATATCTCAATTGTATCTTTAGTGTCATAGGTCCTATTCCTGGAAAATTGGTTTGGGTGCACAAGGCTCCACACCCAATCAGACCTGTCTCTGTTAACACGATTATTAACAATCACATGTACTTTACACTTGCACCTAAAACTTTGCTCCCAGTTGCCCAGCACAGCTGAAAAGTTATGTGCAATGATTCTTTTCTTTCTGTTTTGTAGAATTTCCAATATAATTGCTATTCCATGATGGGAAAAGAGAGTATCTGGATTTCATGGGGGTACTTCTCTCTTCCCATTCAGCAAGCCCTGGGCTTACATTCACTATTACTTGCCTTTTTAATTCTTTTTTACCCCCTCTTCTTTACAACAAGTCAGCTGTGGGCATCGTGGAAGGGGGAAATCAATGTAAAATAATGATATAAAAAGCATCACCGCAGAACGGCCTCAGCCCCAGAACAGTACTTGTGAGAAAGTTGGAGAAGTTACAACTGCATATACATGTTATTTCAATGTGCAGCCAGAAATTCCCTCTTGCTGATAAAAGGGTCTGGAATGTAGACGAGAAAGAAACATTCTGGGGATTGAGGTAATCAGCTCTCAGTAGACCAGCATCCTTTGATTACAGGAACAGCACTATGAAGTACCACAAGTAGCTAGGTAATTCAAGACAGAGCCTGCCTGTTCCTCTCTAACCCATCTCCCAAGCACCTCTTATTCTGATATCCGAAGGAAGGCCACAGAGCTCTCCATAATAGCGGTTTGCTTTTATCTCGTGCTTTGTGTCAAAGCCTTTTTCCGAGGAAAGACAAAGAACATCGCCCCATTTTTCAGATGGGGGAAACTGAGGCACAAAGGGGGTGCACCAAAGTCAAACTGGGTGCCATCGACAGAACCGGGAATAGAACCCGTCATGCCTGATGCCTTGCCTGGCTCTGGACCATGCCACCTCCCTGGGAAACATGCTGGAATCGTATTTCTCTGGCAAATGCTTATTTTAAAGCAGTGGAGTCCATGCCCCACCCCCAAATGCCTGCTACTGTGCAAGTAAGGCTGTCACACAGTCTCCAGTGCGTTAGCCTATCATACAGAGTGTCCACGGTGTGAACCCAGGGGAGAGCGCACATCCACTTCATGCACAGCTTGGACCACTCAGCCGTGGTTTGGGGCCAAAAGGCCTTTGGATCGATGGCCCCACTTCCCAGGGAGGAGAGCCAGACAGGAAGTTTACACCCCAGGAATGTGCCAGAGAGGCTAGAACTAGAGACAGTGTCTGGTCACTGCTCAGACCCAGTTGTGTTGAAAACAGGGAGATCTCAAGGTTGAGTCCAATACAACCAGCTGGGGACCATCGTCTAGGAGAGACTCAGCCAGGGCTGTGACACAGACTTTACAAACAGGATCCACAGACGCCAAAGCAGGGACGTGAAGCTCTCCAATGTGCAAAGAGAGACTTTCCTCCGGGCCTCCTAAATGCTTGGGACTTGTTCATCTCCAAACTACCACGGAGGGTCCTGTGGCCTCTTGTGACCTCATGCTGCGGTAGGTCTCCGGCTGACTTTGGTGATTTCCCCTCCCAGGAACTCCCAAGGAATTGATTGTATTTTGTGGATGAAACTGTGAATTATGTTTTCTCCCCCTCCCCAACTCCCAGGAATAAAGCTGCATTGGCAATGGCATTCCATGATGTAAGATTTTGCTGCCAACCTTGTGGCTCCTTAATGGGAAACAGCTAAACACAACCTGAGTCATCTCGCATCCCAGGGGGAAGTGCGTCATAGAACAGAACCCTAGAACTGTAAGGCACCTCGAGAGAACATCACATAAGAACGACCATTCTGGGTCAGACCAAAGGTCCATCCAGCCCTGTATCCTGTCTGCCGACAACGTGCAATACCAGACACTCCAGAGGGAGGGAACACAACAGGCAATCCTTGTGTGATCCTTCTCCTGTCACCCATCTCCAGACAAACAGGGACACCATTCCTACCCATCCTAGCTAATAGCCATTGATGAACCTAACCTACATGAATCTGTCTAGCTCTTTTTTTGAACCCTGTCAAAGTCCTAGTCTTCAAAACATCCTCTGGCAAGGAGTTCCACAGGTTGACTGTGCACTGAGTGAAGAAAAACTTCCTTTTGTTTGTTTCAAAGCCTGCAGCCTATTAATTTCATTTGGTGACCCCTAGTTCTTATATTATGGGAATAAGTAACTCACTTTTCCTTATTCACTTTTTCCACACCAGTCATGATTTTATAGACCTCTA